GGGGGGGGGGGGGGGGGTCAGAGTGAGGAACAGCGGCCCAAAGGAGATGGAGGATGTCAACTGCACAAGTGACCCAAGACAGGGACACCCACAGAGGGCAAGACTGGCCTGCGAGGCTGCGAGGTGGCAAGCGAGGGGTCAGAGCAGTAGCGCCAGCACGCTGCGTGAGAACGCCCCCAGGACGCTGGACACGCGCCCCAGTGTCCCAGACAGGCAGTCACGTGAAGCCTGGCACACACTCAAGACTTTTTACAGAACCAGGGAGCTAACTGGTCCTACAGACGGAGTCCCACCAGGGAGAGACACACACAGCCCCACACACCAAACAGGGCCAGCTCCCAGGCGCTCACATTGTCAGACCGGCCCGTTCATAGCAGAGTCTTCTTTGGCTGTAATACATACAGTCCCCCACACAGTCTTACATCCTGACACCTGGGCCTGCCTGTGGGTCTCTTTCTTATGTTTACACACACATCAGTCATAGTCTTGTCTATATCCTGTACACACTGTCACATGCCTATACATTCATACCACGTACCCATCATTCAGATAGTGTTTTGAACACCTAAGGCAGCCGTGGGCAAACTACGGCCCGCGGGCCGGATCCGGACCGTTTGAAATGAATAAAACTAAAAAAAAAAAAAAAAAAGACTGTACCCTTTGATGTAATGATGTTTACTTTGAATTTATATTAGTTCACACAAACTCTCCATCCATGCTTTTGTTCCGGCCCTCCGGTCCAGATTAAGAACCCATTGTGGCCCTCGAGTCAAAAAGTTTGCCCACCCCTGGCCTAGGGTGTCTAGCTGTCTCTTTCCTTTACACACCTGTACGCACATACAGGCAAACACACACACTGTCATACAGTTACAGCGGTGCGCGCGGGCTGGATCCGGCCCGTTTGAAATGAATAAAACTAAAAATAAAAAAGACCGTATCCTTTTATGTAATGATGTTTACTTTGAATTTATATTAGTTCACACAAACACTCCATCCATGCTTTTGTTCCGGCCCTCCGGTCCAGTTTAAGAACCCATTGTGGCCCTCGAGTCAAAAAGTTTGCCCACCCCTGACCTAGGGTGTCTAGCTGTCTCTTTCCTTAACACACCTGTATGCACATACAGGCAAACACACATACTGTCATACAGTTACAGTGACTATTTCCTTACATTGTTAGCTGATTGCTTCAGACATGTTGTCTGTTCTATTTCTACCAGTACTCCTATCCACACTCTTTACCAAATCAAGCTAAGCCAAGCCAAGCCAAGCCAAACAAGCAAAGCGAAACAACACAGCAGCCTTGCACCGGGATGGCAGATAGTACAGGCTGAATGACTTTGGTCAAAAAAGGAGGCAAAACATAGTGGTGAGGATTGTCGATCTCTGTGAATATACAAAACACACACACACACACACACACACACACACACACACACACACACACACACACAATGACACATGATGCCCGGGTCAGAACCAGAGCCAATATGTGGAGAATTTCCAGCAAAGGCACCCAGTCCCCCATTGCCTAGGCTCCCATGAGTTGCCTTTGACCCCCTCTGCCCTCCCCTGTGTCCACACCCGTGTCCTCCCCCACCCCTCAGCCCTCCATCTGGTGGGTCCAGGCAGGCACTCAGGCCTCTCTTCTGTCTCCCCATCCCCCAACCCTTCCCCATCCTCTCCAAAAGCCCAGAGGCCCTCGCTGCAGGCTTTCAGGGGTTGCCATGGCAACAGGGCCTCATCCCTCGTCCCCCTGGGGGTGGGCTGAGGACCCGGCCAGCCAGACCGATAAGGGGGTTCCAGTTACTGTGGCAACCGTTGCAGGCCTGAGCTCTCCCGCTTCTGGAAGTGGGGGGAGTGAGTGAATGGTTGCCAAAGCAACCGGGAGCCAGCAAGGACTGGGAAGAGGCAGCTGAGCCCTGTCTCCCCTGCCCAGGGCTGCTGTGGGCATGCTAAGCACTTAAGCATCATTCTTCCATCCATCCCCTCGGGTTGTTTTAGGGGAGGGGAGGGCCGTGAAGTGCAGGTTACAAAACAGGGATTCCACTCACTCTCCCAGCTGCCCGCGATGGCCCGGGAGCCTGTGCCAGCTCGCACCGGCTTACCATGTGACCCCACATTCTCAGGTCCTCCGTTTTCTCTTCTCTGGCCATTAAACGGGGCCTGTCTCTTCCTTGCTCAACAGGAACCACAGAGCGAGTGTGCCTGGTGCAGGGCACAGCAGAGGCCTTGAACGCCGTGCACAGCTTTATTGCCGAGAAGGTCCGAGAAATCCCACAGGCGATGACCAAGCCTGAGGTGGTCAACATCCTTCAACCCCAAACCACAATGAACCCCGACAGAGCCAAGCAGGTCAGCACGGGCCAGCGTGGGTTTCTGTAAAGCTGGTGCGGTTCGGGAAGTGACACCTTCTCCCATCACTGGATGATTATGGGGCTCAAAGGGCTCATGTTGATCACATGTTGGGCAATCGAATACACGGCAGTGGTTAGTATTATTACTCTTAGGGAGTCCGCCTGGGGACTCCAGACTTCCGGTCTAGGTCAGTGGTGGGCAAACCGCGGCTGGAGAGCCACATGCGGCTCTTTGGCCCCTTGAGTGTGGCTCTTCCACAAAATACCACGTGTGGGGCGCACACGCACAGTGCGATTGAAACTTCGTGGCCCGTGCACAGAAGTCGGTTTCCGGCCTGGGCGAGTCTATTTTGAAGAAGTGGCGTTAGAAGAAGTGGGGGTACGTTTGCTGAGGTCGACCCCTCCGATCGAGGACGTTTTTAGCAAAAGCCAGCTTAGGAGCACCCTAATGAAGTTAATAACAATGCACCTACCCATATCGTTTCAGTTTAAAGAATTTGGCTCTCAAAAGAGATCTCAATCGTTGTACTGTTGCTATTTGGCTCTGTTGACTAATGAGTTTGCAGACCACTGGCCCACAACCCCCTGCGTCCCCCTCCTTCCTGGGGCCCTCCACATCCACTCCGCCCCCCATCTCATCCCATTGTCTCTCCCGGCAACCTGCCTCCCACTTCCGGTCCTCACCGGAAGTAACCTCAGCGACAGCCCATCCACCTCCCGAGGTGCTGAGCCTCTCATACGCCTTCTCTCCGCGAATTATTGTACGGGGGCAGCCACCATTTTGGAGAAAGGCTGTTTGGTTAGCGAGCGAGGGGTGGGTCCCTCTCCTGTGGAGCCGTCAGCGTCTCTCCGCCGTCTCAGTTCCGGGGGAGCGGCGGCCGCCAGGGGCGTGGCTGGGAGCGGACCAATGGCTTCCCAGGCCTCCCCGGTTGCCATGACCACGGTGCGGCAGGTGGGCCGCTGCGGAGCCCCCCGGCGGCGGCGTCCAGTCCGGAGCGCAGGTACCCAGGCGGAGGGGCGCGCGGGGCGAGCTGCGCATGTCCGTTCTCTCTCCGCGCTCCCGCTCCCATCGCCCTGCACACGAGGTGTCAGAGGGGCGGGAAGCCCTGGGCGGCGGACAGGGTTCCTGAATGTCTGCCTAGAAACGAATGGAGGGCCTTGGCAAAAGGCATCTGGAAGTCTTGGTCATTCTTGTTGCTCTGAGGTGGGGGACCGCGTTTCCCCAAGCTCGTGGGGGAAACGGTGGTGAGAGACCCTCGGAAGAATGCTGCCCAGCTGAGCGTCCCCCAAAAAAGGACGGCGGGGCTTGCAGCGCGGTCGCTGTCCTTGGTGCTGAATCCGCTCCGCTCCCTTCGCCCTGCCAGCCTCTCCCACCAGCAGCTGACCCACAGTTTGCAGGAAAGCGAGGGTATTCCCTCTTCCCTCCACCTTGGTCGCTCCCACAAGGGACCCGGGGCTCACCAAGAGTTTGTTCTTGTTGCAGGGGGAATGGGGTCAGCACCGTCTGTGCCTGAGCCTCCCACCCCCACCCCCTAATCCACAGGAACTCTGGGACCGTGGAGTCCAAGGTTTATAGAAACAGGATTTTTCCTCTGCCTTATTATTACTCCGGGGCTCCACAGAATGAGGGGGATAATGACTGAAGGCTCGGGCCCTGGAGTCGGATGTAGAGTTGAATCGTACTCTGATACTTCCGGCCTGTGTGACCTTGAGCAAGTGACTTGATTTCTCCGTGCCTCATTTTCCCCATCCGTAAAATGGGCTTTATTATGGTACCTACTTAAGGTGGTAGTTCATGTTCATTGATGTTTGAAAATCACTTAGCATGTATGCCTAATGCATGGAAAGTTCTCAAAAAAAATGTTAGCTGCTGTTATTGTTATTACGGGATTTTTTTAGTCAGGAGACAGGTCGGGCTCTTCCCTTTTTCCTTGGACTTGCTGTATTATTCTGGGTCTTCTTCCTTTCTGTAAGCCTCAGTTTCCCTTTCTTTACCGTGTGGGAGCTGGGTCAAACCAGGGATTTTTTTAAAATATATTTTATTGATTTCTCACAGAGAGGAAGGGAGAGAGACAGAGAGTCAGAAACATCGACGAGAGAGAAACACCGATCAGCCGCCCCCCGCACACCTCCCACTGGGGATGTGCCCGCAACCCAGGTACATGCCCTTGACCGGAATCGAACCTGGGACCCTTCAGTCCGCAGGCCGAGGCTCTATCCACTGAGCCAAACCGGTTTTGGCCAAACCAGGGATTATTAATGGAAATGCCTCCAGGATTCAGAAAGGGAATGTGAAGGATTGAGGACCAAGGCTTCATCATAGAGATATAATACCACCCTTTAAGGGGGCAGCTGCTGCTCAACTACACTTGATACTTGCCCTTTGGGAATGTGGACATAGGGTTGCCACATCTTCCAAATTTTTCAAAAGCAGCCAGAAATATTTGAAACCAACTGATTTTTTAAAGGACAGCTTCGCTTTTAAAGCACTATGTGGCGCCCTAGCTGGTGTGGCTCAGTGGATAGAGCACCGGGAGCCCGACTGGTGGGGCCCAGTGACTGAGTGTTGAACTATGGACGGTTCAAGTCTCATCAGGGCACATGCCCGGTTGTGAGCTCTATCCCCAGTAGGGGGCGTGAAGGAGGCAGCTGATCAATGATTCTCATCATTGATGTTTCTGTCTCCCTTCCTCTCTGAAATCAATATAGATAGATAGATAGATAGATAGATATAAAACACGTGTGGCTATAGGCTGGCTATGGCCTAAGGACCACCAGTTTGCCACCAGTTTTGCTAAACGGGTGATGCCCAGTCCTGGCTGATATCTGAATTATCTAGGTAGCTTACAATATATACTCCAGGGTCTCCACCCTGACCCAGAATTTCTGGGGCTAAGGCCTTGGAACCTGAATGTGGACTCTGGCCTGGGATCAGATCCTAGCTCTGTCATTCACTGTCTGATACCTGTAACCTTGAGTAAGTTACTGAACCTCTCTGTGCCTTTATTTTCCAATCCGTATAAAGTGATGATAATAGTACATACCTTGTTGGGTTGTTGCCAGGATTAAGTAAGTTGCTGTATGAAAGTTTAGAAAAGTGGGTGGCACATGGTAAACACCATTAGCTGCTGCTGCTGCTGCTGCTACTGCCATGGTTATTGCTGTGGTTGTTGTTGTTGTTGTTCTTGTTCTTGTTACTGTTAGTTTAAAATCTCCAGACTTGCAACTCACGGAACAGATGGTCTCCAAGGTCCTTCTGGCTCTCAAATGCCTACAATTCAGTGGCTCGATGATTCCAGGATTCTACGCATGTACTATTCTAAGATTCTCCTGTTCTAACATCCTGAGACTCCAGGATTCCGTGGAGCTGCCCCCGTGGGTCACTCTAAGATGCTGCCGTTCTCCGTTCTGGGCCTGTTGTGAAGGCAGAGACTGTTTTCCTGAGGGCTTCCCATGCGCCAGGCACCAGGCAGTCGCTTTAGTCGTTGAATATCCCCAATCATTGCCTGAGTAGCTGTGATCATGTCAGAGTGGGAGATGAGGAAACTGAAGCACAGAGAGGGGAAGCCATTTGCTTTCACCGTTTCTGGGTGATCGGTTTTGGGGTGAAATGATTCCGTGTTTCCCCCATGGCTCTGAAAGGCGGTATCACATACTAGGCACCTCTTTGCTGTGGGGTCCGGTTTTGGACATTCTTTTGTTCTATCCCTTTCACTTGTCAGACTTCCTATTTTCTAATGACTTTTTTTGAGATAACAGTTGTATTGAAATATAATTCACATACAGTAAAGTTCACCATTTCAAAGTTTGTAATTCAGTGATTTTAGTACAGTCACAAAATATACTAAATGCATTGTTATTATGGGAATAGTCCGACCTGTCTCCTGACTTAAAAAATCCCATAATAACAATAAAATGCATTGATCACCACTATCTAATTCCCAAACATTTCCCACCACCTCAAAAAAGCTCTGTAACCATTAACGGTCACTCTCCATTCCCTCTGGCCCCCGATGAAAACAGTTTGTAATTATTTTTTCTTCCCATTTTTGTGGTTAAGGATAGTATTTCCTCAGAAAGTTTCTAGATGAAATTATTTAGAATGGTATGTATGTAGCTGGTTTTTGAAGGTAAAGTTTTTAGACGAGTATACTCGTCGACGACTGAAAAAAGAACATTTTGTGAAAACGTATATACACGTTTCTGCCGGGGAAGGGGTTAACGGTCACTCTCCATTCCCTCTGGCCCCCCTCCCAGCCCTTCCCACCACTGATTATTTTGGTGTCTAGGGATTTGCCTGTTCTGGATATTTTATATGAACTAAATTAAATTTATGTGGGGTTTTGTGCCTAGCTTCTTTCCCTTAACATAATGTTTTCAAGATTCATCCATATTGTAGCACAAGCATGTCAAACTCAAAGGATAACACGGGCCAAATAAACAAGGTTTAACTGTACGTGGGCCGTAAAGAAACAAAAGCTTCAATTTTCATAGGAACGTAGGTTTATTTCGATAGAGACTTGCTGAAGACAAAGGGCTGAAATAAATGAGTCATCGTTAACATAAAATAATAGAGCATTTTAATAAAAATATTTTTCTTGAACATGAACTTACCAGACACTGAAGATCTGCACAAATTAATAAGCGTAATGCACATAAATCTATTATTCTTGTTCTCCAAAAGCAAACTATTTCCGGTTGTGCACACCAAACAAGTCAGTCCAAGACTAATGAGGTAGCAATGAGCTGCTAAAATATTCACTGCTAGTATTAGTAGAGAGAAATGGTGGGCCTGCCTGTAAGGTGCGTAAGGGAAATGAATGCAACACGATTATAGTAGTCAGTCATTAGCGAACATTGTAATTTGTTATTGATAATTATGTATAACAAGATACTGTAAAGATTAAGTTACAAAATTTTTATTGAAATGTTTCTTACATACTGTTATATTGGCTGGGCCGCCACGGGCCACGAGTTTGACATGCTTGTTGTAGCACA